CTTTGCAAGAAGTAAACCAATGAGCACAAAATTGAAACTGTTTGAAAGCTGTAATAGTAAGTTATTGTTGAAGGGCAATTTTCATGTTTTTATCATGACCAAGACAGCCACTTATTGTATGATCAATTCCATATTATAGGGTTAAATAACCAAAAAAAAAGGATGTATGGCAGTGATATAATGTTAGTCTAGAACTGATGGAAACTGTTATGTTTATTTTAAAAAAGGCCTTACTAAAGAATATCTCATTTAAATGATGTGTTAGTTTCTGTTGAAAAATGCAGAATGATACAGAAGAAATGGGAATATAAAAAATAAGTAAAATTGAATCAGACTCAGAAAATGAGAGAAAAACCTGATACTATGATAGAAGAATGTATCATGGATTGAATTTTATTCCCAAACCAAAGTAAAAGTACCTCAAATTTCAAAAATATTATGTTATACGGCTCAAAATATAAGTCGCCTGGTGGTTAGGATACTCGACTTGTAACCCATGGATCATGGGATTCAATACCTTCACTGAATATGGTTGCCCTTTCAGCCATGAGTGTTATAATGTGATGGTCAATTCAATTATTTGTTGATAAAGAGTAGCTCAGGAATTGATGGGTGGTGTTGCCTTTTCTGTGGTCTATCACCTCAAAATTAAAGACAGCTAATGCAGATAGCCCTTAAGTAGCTTTGTGCAACATTCAACAAAACACAAAATCTGCAGTATATACATGTTTGTATGTACCTGTGGAATTATTTATATCTCAAGAAACATCCAAAAGCAGGGTTCAATAAATCAAAAGCTGCCAACTAAACAATAAAACATCCTGCCAGGGAGGATGGAAGAGGTCATCAACCTGACCCACATAGTCAAAATACCAGCAAAGAAATGAACTGAGGACAATGGTAATGCACAAGTAGGTCACTAAATGACCTCTTTAGAGACAATCTATCTTTGAATAGAAAGATATTACATAGATGCATGTTAGACATGAATGCTACTCTGGGAGTGATTTTTGAGCTTAAGAATTTAGTGGTATGAAAATCAGTAAAAGGTAAAACCAAAGGGGCAGGAAGTTTAGAAACACTGAATTCTTGAATTTTAAGAGCATAAACTTTATCAAGATTTTCAGAAATGCTTCTATTGATAAAGGCTAATGGGAAGGCATTTTTAATTAAGTACTTTTTTAACGTTTATTACTTCTTCATGAAAATGGTTGTAAGAAATAGTTATATATGCATTATTAATTAAAATACTGATTATATTTTATTTGTAACAGTGAAATATAACGTAACTAAAATGACAAACTGGAAAAGGCAGATTATTTTTGTTCTTAACTGTGAACTTTATTTCTATGCTGAGAATTTAAATAATCTTGAAGTTTTTACATAGCTTTGTTATCTGAATATGATAAGTGTTATATATTTGTCTTTATAGACTAAAGTTTTAGACCAAGATGCACATGACTTCAACTAATATTAACTTCATGATAAGACATAAATTTGCTAAGACTGTAGCATGTAGTTAGTCTACCGTTACAGTATGAATTAGATCATATTATTAAAGACAAAATTGCACTCTTTGATGTAAAATTCAAGCAACATAGTGAATACATTTTTGGTTGTGCTATTAACTTGTGTTTGTGTGTAAATAATAAATTAGAACTTAATTTGATTACTTCATCAAGTGGTATATAAAGATTCTATACCAAAACTTGTGATACATACTGACTGATCAAGTTTCATTCATTTGATGAATTCAGGATAATTTTAAACTATAAATTCGTTCTTAATAGAATGGAAATAAAAATTCATTAAAAACCTGCTGACTTATAATTGTGCATTCCAATGTTAGTTACAATAGGGATGCTAGAAACATCTGCTTTTATACAGTGTTAGTACACTGTACAACATGCCACTGTGAGATCCCACAGATCTAAAATGGTTATATACTTGTTTGGAAATTATGTTCTTGTTTAGTTTAAATGAAAATCTTTGAAACGTGTCTTCCCTTTGTTTGATAAGAGCTTTTTCTATAAAGTTAAATTTACTGGAATCATGTAAAATGGTATATACATTACCTACACATTCTTGGTTTTTACATATTATGACATTATTATCTTAATCAAGTTTTGAGAGAACTAAATAACCAACTTTTCAAATCTTTCAAGGTTTTTCATTTATTTTCAGGTAGATTGAATAGTTACATTTCTTTAATGGATACACATAAAAACTAGACAAGGCTGATATTTTAGAGACTAAATTGTCAAAGGTCTCAAATTGGAAATCATTTTTCAAAACTTACAGAAACAAAATCAGTAAATTTAATTTTAGTTCGATTGACTGGAAATTTTAAACTACATGGCAGAACTATTTTATCCAAGTAATTAGGTTATGGATGACATTGAATAGATTCTCTGTAAATGTAGTTATCGGATACTTTCCATTTTTAAATAATTTCTTCAACTGAATTCAATTACAATGTAATAATACCTATGGGGTTTTTGAGTCCTTTTAAATCACCATGCATTAACCTAAATTAACTTAGGAGTGTGAATAATGTTAGAACATTGCACCTAATTCATTATTTGATATTAAACAGCAGTCCAACTGTTTAATGATTATATATATTTGTTACAGATTTTACCAAAAGTAAAATTGAATAGAGAATCTGTGACGTAGAGGCTTAATACATTCCTTGATTTTACCCTTTGCTGTGGACTGTAGTTTTGCCTATCCAAGGCCTCTTATAATGGTGATGTGTATATAATATCTATGGGGTTTTTGAGGCCTGACCAAAGTGGTTTGCTGATAAGCTTTGCAGTTCACAGCAGAGGGCACGACCAATCAAGGAATGCATTAGGCTTCTACATCAAAGATTCTTTTTTCAATTTTATATTTGGTGAAAAAGAAATCTGTAACATATACATACACTGTAATAAGCTTCTTTTATTTCAAGCCTCAATGTTTTATTTAAAATATACATAATCTAAATAGCTCAGCTGCTGTTTTAACACCAAGAAATTAGAAACACACAAATCAAACAGCTTGTTCTTTGTTTTATCCTGCAATTTGTTATTTAGGAATATTTTCTGGGCCAAGTTATATTGTTTCCTTAACATTAGAACACTTTATATTCTTTCAGAAATTTTATGTGCAACAAATCTTTATAATATTTTAAAATACTCTTTTTAAACATTTCTATATATTTTTAAATTGGAATGAATGCAAATTAAACTAAGGCAAGTAATCATGAGCATGAGTTATTGATAAAGGAAGTTACTCTCTCTCAGGACTAAAAGCATTTCTTTCACAAAATGTAAAATACGAAGGAACTTCTCGTGCTCTATGGCTTTGCCTTGAAATTTTCTTGTACAAAGGCAACCGTTGTATTATACATTATTAAAAACTAAGTAATATTCAAATAAAACAATGGGTACATAATTGAGTATAAGTGAAAATGAGGTAGAAATCTGTGAGAAAAGCACTTCCTCTTCATCCTTTCCTGAATAATGACACTTATTTATCACTTCGAAGATTAAAAAACGACACTCAGATCTGATCCAGATTGAAATGAAATATAGAAGAGCAAGTACTAAGGCAGAAAATTTGGAAGTGTAAGTGAAATGTAATACTTATGCATAGTTTTCATATACTATTATACCATTTTATGAAATTATAACAGAAAAGTCACTTAGTTGCATATCTTGGATTTGTTTCAGATATTAGCATGAAGTGCTCATAATTTTTAGCTAATAAAACTAGAGTCAACAGATTTTACTGTCAATTCTTTGACTACATTATCATGAAATAGTTGGGTTTGACTGTCACTCTTATAATGCATTTATGGACCAAAGCATGCTTTTACAGCAATAGGACATGACATATGGATTCTTGAACCACTAATGACATGCTTGTGTTAATTAAACAGCTATTTATACATGCTTGAATATACTATTTAAAGAAACAACAGCTTATTGGTATCAATTGTTTTGTTAGAGTTGTTTACTACTTACTACAACCAATTGGACTTTAGGGTGGTTTAATACATAAAACTTTTCCTTTGAAATATAATGGTTGTTGTTCAGCACAAAGCTACAATAGTCTAATGGTGCTCTGCCCACCATGGGTATCAAAACCCAAATTTTAGCATTGTAATCCTACAGACCTACTGGAGGGCATTTTAATTAGAAGCTAACAATATAAGGTAGGGGTTAAGCAATGGTAAAGAACAAAGTGATACTGTATTTTAAAGAAAATAGAGCTGTTTAACATCAGAACATACTTAAAAGTAATTATTTTATCACATTAAGTAACTTATCTCAATCAAAATACCAATAGAGAAATTCCTGGCACTAAACTTGGCTATGTATCATCAAAAGAAACTGAAAATGCAGAACTATGTGGTTCAGAAAGCAGTAGGTTCTCACTTTGTAAACTAAAGTTGCATTCAGCCAATTTTAATCATACACAGCACACCTATATAAACTATAGCAGGTATCAGGGCTAAGAATATATTGAAGGTGGATAGACAAACATTTATTTTATTGCAGTGAGGCTGTTGATTTATGCAAAACTTTGTTATGCCTCAGTTTAATTACTTTTTATTCAATAATGTACATCCAATGCCAGTGTTTTGAGCAATGCGAGACAATAATACAGAAAAACTATGCCATAAAATATTACATATGTATAATGTTAATTGCATAAACAATGTCTAGTGTATTATTTCAACAATAACACACAGAAAAAAACTTCAGTACTTAAAATATGAAACATATTATCGAGGTTTGGTAAGAAAAGACAAGAATTATGATTTTTTTTCAAGTTAAAGATAGTTCATTTAAATGACATTGAAATAGCTTATTATAATTGTTGTTGATCGATGTACATTCATTAAGATGTCCAGGACGAATATTAAAGGGGGGGGGACCACCATAAATGTATACTTATTATTGATATAGGTTTGATTTTAACTGCTACTGTCTAGAAAAAATAACTTTACATTTCAAAGCAAAAAGTCTTTATTGTTATAAAACTTACATAAAAATTACTAAGGAATTTGAACATTATTAAGAAACAAATTTTCAGGTATCTAAAAAGTTCAGTCTAATTCTACATATCCTAAACTTCCTTTCTTGTACAGTGTCAAATATAAATGGTTTAAGGTTCAATTCTGATGTTTCCATTTAAATCATAACAACTTACACTTCATGGTTATGATGTGCAAGTGACATAAAATGTAAAATTATCTGCTCAAACTACACAGAACATACATTAGAAAACATTAAAAATTATAAAGTTTACATGATATGAATGTTTATTTTCTTGGAATGTGTCACATTGAATACAATTTAATAAAGTACATTTTCATTGCAAACTAAATATCTGTAATTACACCCCCTTTTTTTTGAGGTTTGCAACTGCATAAAAGTTTTCAAAAGACTTTTACTTGAAAAAATCATTTTTTTTTTACAAATAACATAAATTCATTGTATAATACTGAAGTTCATAAAAATCACACAAAACCTTGTTATTTTCTAACATTACTAAACAGAAAACCAAGTATTCTTCTGCAATTCAAATAACTTGTAACTGTTGTAACATTAAAACAATTGAAATTGGAGAACGTGTATATTAACCGTTCTCCAATGGCAGTTTTGAAATGGCCCAAGAGACAAAATCTTTTAAACATTCAAAATTTTCTATTTTAACACGACAGCAGAGGTAGATATGTAAATAAACAATAAAATACTGGGCCAATCACAAAACAGGTACATAAAAGGGATTCTTTCATTTATGGATTATATGCAAGTAACCCCATTTCAATGTAATTTATAAACATAATACATATCTTTAGTGCATTTTAATTTGGTAAGCATATCTAGATTTTAAAGAAGCCTACTAAAGTCTAGCATGGTTGTGAATAATGTAATATAAAGAAATTACAAACATTTTATAACACATAGTATACTTATTTAACTTTGTATTTCTCTATACATAAAAAAACAGGGAGATAGAGGTGTCTGCTTATGCATATAACTATCCCTTCTGATGCCTTCTAGGAGACAAAAAAAATAATTAATTTTTAGTACAAAATTAATTTTAACTAAACATGATTTTTCTCAACGTTTAAGTTTTGAAAGGTTTTGACAATCAGGTACATACAAACAGAAGATTGGTGATTTATATATTTTCTTATGCTTCCATTATACTATGATAATGGTTGGTGTTTGGAATACTGATATATTTTTCTTCTTCTTAGTTTGAATAAGAAAGTCAAAAGATATTCAAAACTTTATTCGTTGTTTTCTCAGAACTTGTAGCAGCTATCAATAATAATATAGATATGTTCTTAACAACTGCTACAAGTTTTTTTTAAAACCAGCACCTTCAGTAGCACCTAGAGAGCTGTATAATATTACAAGTCATAATGTGTAGACCACTTAGTAGCGATGTTAGGCCCAAAATGTGAGATAAAGACAATCTAGCATGTTTTTATAGACATAGTACCAGTACCTTTCTGTTTCCTAGAATATTATAAAAGAGAACACTAACCATATTATTAAGCAATATGTTATGGCACCCAACAATACGTATAATAAACAATTATTTTTTTAAGTATAAAAAAATCACATAACTATGAAAGTTATTTCTTCATAGACAGTACTGTGTAATTTCTAAGACACACAACATATTCTCACCATAGAGAAGCAATGGCACTATTAGGATCCAAGTGTAAATACTGTTATGGTTTTTATACTAATGGCACAACAAAATGTTGTTTTGAAATTAATGTTAAAAACATATATACTTAGTTCTAATTATATTGTGTGTGTGTGTTGTGTGCTTATACATATATTTATATAAATCACTATGTCCTTCCTTACTCATATCTTAAAACAAGAGTACATAATCAATTTTGACTATTAAAAAACCTGAAAAGCAAATATAATATACTGTATGAACCACGAAGTGAGAAAGTAAAGCTTCTCCATCATAAATGTAAAATTATGACAATAAAGAGAGAAAAAAAAAAGGATGCATATAATTCAATAAACACTCAGATTTATGTTAACTGGTTTAGAAATCTGATATGGTGTTACATGTTGTTTTCTTTGTAATCTGTAATTAGCTTCACAAGTATGACTAATGCTTATTTGCAAGATCTCCATTATACTATGATAATGGTTGGTGCTTGGAATGCTGATATACTGGAAATTTAGCAAACTTATAAACTTAAACACTGATTTCATTAGAGTACTTCATACCTAGAGAATGCATCTCTAAGTTAAAAAGACTTAAGTATAACTGAATTTCATATTCTGTCTTACTACAGTTTTTGTGTTATCAATGAAAGAAACTACAACAAATCATCTCTTCACTTTCTTACTTAGCAAGCACATGTACAGTACATATACTTACATAACTGAACATACTACCTAAACAGCATATTATTTAAAATTATTTAGAAACTAATAACTTTATTATTCCATATTCTTTAAGTTATTTTAATGACTTTATGCAAAACTATGTAAAATTAAAAATGTTTTTAGATAGAGAAATACAAAGTTTCACAACTTGATATATTTTACTCCAGTGTATAAGAAATATTTCCTGGGTAATGTTCATTGCTGAAATATGAAGCAGTCACACACATGTAAATAGCATTTTACACTAAATGCTTTTGGATAAGAAGATGCAATGCTATATTTGGTGTTAAGTAAGTGTGGCCTAATCTATTGTTGGACATTGGACTTGTGAATTTTCCACTGTTCAGCCACTCGATAATTGCTGCTTTTTCATAACTATATCCATCTGAAATATGTTTACAAACAAATGTCAGTGAACAGTTATGCAGAAGCTGTTTATATCACCACAACTAACTCTCATGTAACAATCCCTTTTTCTAACAGAAAAAATATATAAATATTGTTAACGAGAAATATATTTTAAACTAATCATTACACTTGCATAAATATTTAGTATGTTACATGTCGTTACTTTGGGATAACAAAATATATCAAAAGTTTGAGTCAATTAAAACCTGTGTAAATAACTGAGGTAAAGGAATCCAATAATTTGAGATCTTTCAACAATCTACTTGGTTTAGTGAAGAACTGCTACAGTCACAAGTTACATTTTGGCTGTAAAGAAGTAATATTAGACTACATTCAACACCCTTACCCTAATCTACATAAGCAATAACC